GTTCGAAACTACCAGCTGCTCCGCGGGAGAAAGATCAGGCTTTCTACTCCCGTAAAGATTTACACCCTCGGAAACCCTGTACAGGGTCACTATGGGTCGAAACCGACTCCACGGCACTTAACAACAACAACATATTAGAATCTGATTCTGTGTCTCAGATGCTGTGAGTAAATGGTGGGCCTGCCGCTTCAACTGCCCCTGCGCTACGGCTTGCTGACTTGGAAAGGGTTCAATGAGTGCCTAAGGCAAGTCGGTAAAGAAAAACAAGAGGACCAGTGCTCATTTCCCCTAAACTCTCCCAAGTCCATAAAGGTTGTAGCGGAATGGCCGCGTCATGCCAAAGGAGGAAACTCGAGTTGAGTCCTACTTCGGAAACTGATAAAGATGTCCCTCACTCACCCCGGGAAGCGGGTACACAGGCTCGAGGTGAGGACCGCCAGACTCTGGGACTACGGCCACTTCCCCAGGGGCCGGGCGCGCCGTTAGAGAGGTGGGAGGCGGAGTTCCTTCGCTTCTGGGAAGAGACCAAAGGAATGAGTAATTGGAAATTCTATAACGTAGACCCTTCTCCCAAACCCCGTGGCCCTTTCACCCTAGACCCCCTGCCGAGAGGCGAGTGTACTGGAGACAGGGAGACGGGGTGGAGGGAGTCACGTTTCGGAGAGGGAAGTGAAATAAAGAGGGCGGCACCCGGGGGGACCTGTGCGTCATTGAGGGACCCGAGGAGAAGTGCAAGGCTCGTGGAGCTGCAAAAGGAGAAGTGGTAGCAAGAAGCTGCAGGGGGCGGCCCGGAGCCTCCTACTTTCTGCGGCCGCGCCCGGGCCGCCTGCAACCTCGTGGCGCTTCCTGGGACCCGCAGCGCTCCGGGCTCAGGCAGGAGGGGCGCGCCCACCGCGCGCAGAATGTGGCAGCGGACACAGCCTGGGCCCCGCGCGCCCTGGCGCTGGACGCTGACCCTGCTGGCCTTGGGCGGCGCGGGACTGTGCCAAGCTAGCCCGCAGCCCGCGCGGCCCGGCGCCAGAAACAAGTAAGTTCTTCCTCCTCTTTCTTCTCCCCGGGTCCCCGAGGCTCCTGATTTTCGCCCCAGACTACCATCCCGGGTCAGCCACGAAGCACCAAAGCAGCCTGCCAACGGCGACAAGAGCTAACCGGGGTTCCTTTCGCGTTCCCCCGGCGACACCTTCTCCAGGGTGACCGCGCGCTTCACGGCTCGCGCGGGGCGTCCCAAGCGACTTCACCAGCGCCTCGAACGGTCTGACTCCGGGAACCTGGGGTGCAAAGAGATCCCTCAGGAAAGGGCATCAGGAAACTCGGGACGTTGGGTGCATTTCTTTTCCCTTTCTCGGACACGCTCTCAAAGGGCGCACCCGCGCACCCTCCGCTGCCTGCTTTGTGGAGCTCCCGCCTCTGCAGAGGGCGACGAGCGTCCAGACCCATACTCGGACCGAAACTGGTCTGCTGCTTTATTCGTTGTTCTCTTCTTCCCAGCCTTATTGTTCTCCGGGTTCACACTGTGCTTTTCTTCCTCTCGCCCCGCCACCCCCAGGAACTGGTGCGCCTACATCGTGAACAAGAATGTGAGCTGCTCTGTACTGGAAGGGAGCGAGAGTTTTATCCAGGCTCAGTACAACTGTGCCTGGAACCAGATGCCTTGTCCCGCCGGGCTGGTGTAAGTAGTGGAGCTGCGGAGCGGGTGGGGCGCGCCGGACTGGGCGCGGGGGATGGGAGGGCTGCGGCGTCGGTGAAAACCCAATAGTTGAAAAGTTTGAGTGCTGAGCCAAATAGCGCTCTTTAAAAAAGTATGTACTGCCTCTAGTGAAGGAGTCGTGGTGGCGCGGTGGTTAAAGTGTTCCGCTGGTAAGCGAAAGCCACCAGCTCCATGGGAGAAAGATGTGGCAGTCTGCTTCCGTAAAGTTCTGGTCTGTCCTATAGAGTCGCTATGAATTGGAGTTGACTACAGCAGTGGGTGGCCCTGGAGTGAGCTCGGAGAACCGTGTGCGCAGTGGGCGCTGGTGATTACCAGAGCTAGGAGAGTAACACACAAAGCCCCCGCCCCCACTTCTCTTTTCTTCTTTAAAATTTATTACAAACATAAGGCAGCTGAACCTAATTAGATCCGTATTGTGTGTTCTGGGGCACACAGAAGATTCCAAAACGTAAAACTTGTAAACGTAAAGATTAGCTGTGAGGATTTGCGCTAGCTATATAGTCTACAACAGGCGAGTTTCGTCCAAATGTCCGCACAAAATTGAAACGTTGTAGGTCTCCAAACTGAAGTCTTAGGGACTAACTTGCTTAAAAGTGTGGGGTTTGTTTTTGTCCAAGTTAAGATTTGGGTATTTGCTAAGAGGTTGTTAGTTGAAGATTGATAGTCTATGAAGAAACCGAGTAGGGTTCACCATTTTTGTTGTTGTTTATAAAGATTTCACCATCTTAAGAAACAACAGCAGAGGAATCGAAGCAACAGAATATGAATTTGGTTAAATTACATCACACTCACTGAATTGTCATCAGGGGAGTCTTTGTGTGAAAGTCACCTATCAGAGTATGGGCTGATGAGAGTGAATGTGATGGCTGAAATAGATTGTTTTCCCCTAAGAATAAGTTGTTTTAGAGCACAATTGTCATTACAGCAAAGAATAGTCAGTAGGCGGATGTGTCTTTGGCAAAGCAAAGGGACAGGCTGATTCTCTTACTCTAGAAAACCTTATTCCAGAAGGCAATTAATTGACCATCGTTCAGGCACGCGGGGTGATAGTGTTCCAGAGATCCATCCCACGTGGGCTGCTGGGAAATGGTGAACAGGAAAAGGATAATTCCTACCAGGCAAAAAATACCCTCCAAAGAGATCCCCACACAGAGAAACAGACTGAGGTTGAATTCCTAGCTGCCACAGTGAGCTGGAGAATGCAGTGCACTTGTACTACCTGTCTCTCTGGTCAGAGGGAAGCCTTGGTAATATTTAACACTCACATTTCTGGCCAGGCATACTAGAATCAAGACATTTTCTATAAGATTTTTACATTGTGGTAGAGATATTAATTAAGTACTCAACACAGTTTGGATGGGTTTGTTTCAAATTCCAGCGTAATGATTATTCAGGAATATTTCTGTCATTTTATACAAGAACTACGTTTTGTGGTTAATTAGGATTCCTGGTTACATTGGACTGTGAACTACAAGGCCGGTAGTTCAAACTCACCAGCTGTCCCTCGGAACCCCTATACAGGGTTGCTGTGAGTCATTTAACAATAACAACACTTAACAATAACAACAACATAGCCTTAATACTCGTGACAACTCAGAGATAATTTAATTTAATTTGTTCACTTTTAGAGGTAATGTTTGTCATCCAAAGATTGTCATACTTTTTATTCTCTCAGATTATTTTAGTTGTTTGGTAAACCAAATGATGATTCATTTAATGTATGTAACACAATATCGTGAAGCAAAGTCATGGCCAGCACTGGGAAGCAACATGTCCAGCTGAGCAGTTTAGTCAAAGGCGATGGAAGTCTATGTTTGTAGCTCAATCAGAGTGTGATCGAGAACAACAACAACAAAAAAATTGCTGTAAAAAATAATAGCTGCTTTTTTTGCAATATAGCCAAAATATGTAGGCTGAGTATTTTTTCAACAATATCCATGCAAACAATTCAATTGTATTTTTACATTTTGTGTAAATATGAAATTTAAAAAATGAAAACAGACTGTTTCAGCTGATCAACCTGAGAAATTGAAATTAGCTTCAACAGCTAACTCCAACCTGGATTTTTCCTTTCTTTTTATTTAGACATAAGGAAGGCATTGCTTACCCATTTGTCAACTACTCAATGATTCTTAAAATTTGAAGATTAATGAGCAAGTAAAAACACAGGGACAAGCAGTCTTTCTATGCTTGTTAGGTGCAGTCGAGTCAGTTCCGACTTACAGGGACGCTATTCACAATAGAAGGAAACACTGATCCTGCGCCAATCTAGGAAGCAATGTTACACTCAAGTTCATTGTTGCTGCCACTGTGTCAAGCCATCTCATTGGGGGTCTTCCTCTTTTTTGCTGACCCTTCACTTTCCCAAAGCATGATGTCCTTCTTCAGGGACTAGACTTTCTTCATAATAGGTCGGAAGTATGAGAGATGAAATTTTGCCATCCTGGCTTCTAAGGAGCATTCTGGCTATACTTCTTCCAACACAGATCTGTCTGTTCTTCTGCCAGTCCATGGTACTTTTAATATTCTTCTCCAACACCATAACTCAAAGGCATCAAGTCTTCTACGGTCTTCCTTATTCACTGTCCAGCTTTCACATGCATATGGGGTTGTCGAAAATACCATGACTTGGATCAGGAGCACCTTAGTCCTCAAACTGACATCTTTGCTCTTGAATACTTTAGAGAGGTCTTGTGCAGCAGATTTGCCCAATGCAATATGTCATTTGATTTCTTGACTGTTGCTTCCATGAGTGTTGATGGTGGATCCAAGCAATATGAAGTCTTCAACAACTTCAGTCTTTTTTCCATTTATCATGTTATTTATTGGTCCGGTAGTGAGGATTTTTGTTTTCTTTACATTGTCATGCAACCTATACTGAAGGCTGTGGTCTTTGATCTTCATCAGTGACTACTTTCAGCAAGCAAGGTTGTATCATCTGCATATTGCAGGTTGTTAATGAGTCTTCCTCCAATCCTGATGCCACATTCTTCTTCATATAATCCAGCTTCTTGGATTTGCTCAGCATACAGATTGAATAAGTATGGTGAAAAAATACAATCCTGGCACACACCTTTCCTGCTTTTAAACCATTCGGTGTTCCCTTGTTCTCTTCGAACAGCTGTCTATGTATAGGTTCCTCATGAGCCCAGTTGTTGTTGGTGGTAAGTGCCGTTGAGTCAGTTCCAACCCATAGCAAACTGATGAGCTTGGTTTCCAAGGAGTGCCTGCTGAGCTTGAACCAATAATTTTGTGGTTCAAACCAACTTTGCAATCCAGTGCATTAGCCCACCTGACATACTCATTCTCTGTAATGTGGTCCATAGCTTGTTATAATCAACACAATCGAAAGCCTTTGCGTAGTCACTGAAGCACAGGTAACACCTTTCTAGTATTCTCTACAGTAGACCAAGATCCAGCTGATGTCAGCAGTGGTATCCCTCATTCCACACCCTTGTCTGAATCCCGCTTGAGCCCTGTTAATGTACTGTTGCAGCCGTATGAATAGCAGTAGACCACTGACATATAGCACCAGAATTTGTATACTTAAAGAGGGAGAATTGACTATTTAACTTTGAGCTTTTGAGTTGTTTCTGATGAATGCAGAAGCCTGAGTAACTTCTCTCGATTCACAGGTGTTGCCAGGTCAGACCTGTTCATGGTCTGTTTCTTAGAGCCGGAGACCTGTGAAGGTTCTTTGGATCCTAGAGTTGCTATTGTTAGCTGCTGTAGAGTTGACCCTGACTCATGGGGACCCCATGCACAACCCACCAATATGCTTCCCGATCTTGTACCATCGTTAAGAGGGATTGGGGATTAGACCACTATGATTCATAGGGTTTTCATTGGCAGATTTTTAGGAATAATCCTCAAGTTCACCTTTAACCTTTAGTTAGTTTGAGAGCACTGCTGACGTCTGTTCAGCGTCATAGTAGCACACAAGTCTCCACTAACAGACCAGTGATGGCTGCACATGAACAGTAGTATCACCAGAGGGATGGAGGGGTACAGACAGTGACACTGTCAAAGGGAGTGACACCAAAATTACTACTGTATCAAATATGTGGAGTCCTGGTGTAGCGCTGTGGGATAATGCACTGGACTGTAAGGTCACTTTGAACTGCAAGGTTGGTGGTTCAAGTCTCACCAGCTGCTTCTAGGAAACCCTGTATAGGGTCCCTGTGAGTTGGCGCTGCTTTGATGGCCGTTAACAACAACAATCAAATGTTTATGCAGTGCTTCATCAGAAATTCATTTTTTACTAAAAACATCCCTGTGTAGTTAGTTATAACAACAAAAACATGTTTCATAAGTCCAGTTTACATGTATCAATATACCTACAGGGCTAACACTCGATGCTAATTTATTTATTGTACCTTTTAAATACTCTCCAGGGGCCCTGATCGTGGGTTAAGCAGTGGGCTGTAGCCAAAAGGTTGACAGTTTGAACCCACCAGCTACTCCTGGAAGAAAGATGAGGCAATGTAAGGACATTGTAAGGACACTGTCAAAATTTACAGCTTCAGAAACCATAGGGAGCAGTTTTACCCTGCCCTACAGTTTGTTATGAATCAGAATCAACTTGATGGCACCAAGTTTGGTGCTCTCAGGTCAGAGCTGTGATTATGGCCAAATTACAATGATGCTTTTCACCACGTGCTTTCATTTGCAGGCGCTATAAGCACATTGTGTCATTTTTGAGTCCTGGTGTGATGCTGTGGGTTAATGCAAAGTTGGCTTAAACTGCAAGCTCTTCCTCGGAAACCCTATACAGGGTTGTCATGGGCTGGAACCAACTCAACAGCACACAACAACAACAAGTGCTTTTATAGTTGTTGATTTTATGAAGTGAAACTTTCTAGTGTTTTAGCAACAGTATTATCATAAGTAGTATTTGTGAACTTATACCAATAACTTTTGAGAATGAAGTAGTAATTAAGGGAAAAGAAGGCTAAATAAAA